CCAGAAAGAGAAAACAATAGGAGCGTTCAGTTGCTCCTTTGCTAAAAGTCGTGGTGAAGAAGGTTCCCGACTGACGGGATAACTTGGACTGCACGGTCAGCCCAGGGTGTGTGTTTGTGTGGCGTGGTTGACTGAGAGTCGGGTTCCTTCTTGGCGTGGCCTTAACGACACTCCCACTCCATGGGATGCGAGCCAGATGTGGCAGCAGACTTAAGGGCCGATTCGGCCACGACCGCCATCTGTGCCTTTTCCCGCCTCCAGTACGCAGTGGACAAGCTCCTCCCCCTCCCCGCCTCGTGCCCGAACAGCATTGTAAAAAACGCGCCATAACAGAAGAAAAAAGAAGGAGCACTCAGACAACAAGGAGGGCTTGGTATTGTACACTACACGGACTTGGGTATCATACAAGGGAAGGTACTCTCGCTCTTCTTCATCTTCTTGGTACACATGAAAGAACTGGTGCAAGTGAAAATACAAGGAGGGAACAGCTCCAGCTTCGCAGCACTGCGTTTACTTCTCGCTTTCCTCCCCAACTGCCTTGCCAGCATCAGCCCTTAGGAGATGTTTCTGCTCTCCGATGCGCCTGAAAATGAGGGTTAAAGGGCAAATTCGCCTACCAGGGTGTTTGCTCCTTTATCCATCCAATGTTGTCAGCAATGAGGTGCAGGGCCTGGCAGGAGGGACAACGGATGATGACAAGACCCTTTGTGTAGGCCTGTCTGGAGAAGTACTTTTTGGTGCGGTGTTTGCATTTCTTTATAAAGGGTGTTAGGAATCCCCGAGGAGGAAGGGAGATCGAAAACCTACATTGCAGGTGAACTCGATGCTCATGTTCTTGTCCGAGCCGACAACGCTCTCAGCCTCCAGGCTTTCGAGGGCAGCTCCAGGTGGCCCCTCAAATATCAGATCACCTGGAGGTTTTGAGGAAGCGTGTCTGCTGAAAGAGGGCAGGGCCAGTGCTGAGGGCCTCGGATTAGTTGGTACTATTCTCCGCATCGGAAGGCTAGACAGCCTGGCTATGCATCGTTCAGGTAGGTCAGGAAGCCGAGCATAGACAGACAGTTTCAAAACCCGTCGAAGCATGTGTCAGACTAAAAGGGAAATGAGTAACCATATAGAAAAGCTTTTATTTTCTGCGTACCTCGAAGGGAAAGCGCGAAAGAGGAGAAAACAGGGACACGGCTGACGGAGATAATTGCGCAAGCGAGACTAAACATCCCTCTAAAGGATTCTTACTTCTGAAAACTGTGCGTAGTTGACACAAATAGAGCATAATAACAGCCGAATGAATTCCTAACCAACCACGTAGACACAGCAACAATTTTATCATCCGCTGCCTGGGACCCCGAAAAGGGGGAGTGTATTATGACACATACTGGAGCTTGACCTGTCGCGAATGAAGTACTGTCTACGGAGACCAAAGACACCTTACGGACAAAACGCTCCTACTAGATTGCGAGGAGGGACACAACTTAATGCTGCACCAGTTGAAGGCGCATTTGGACTTCCTCGAATAAAACGGTGCAGTAACAGATCACGTGCTTCAGTCAGCTCTAAAATGTTGTTATCATTCTCTAGAAAATAAGCAGACACTCGACGGTAAAGTAGTGGATGCCAGCGGGAAAATATAAAGTAGAACTGTAAAAAAAGCAATGGCGTGCAGGCAATAAGCGAAGTTAAGCGAGTTTAGCTTCCGAGGAGGGAGGGTGTGACGTAGTACGCATTGTTAGGGTAGTGGCAGCAAAATAACGATTATGAGTCACGTGTGGATGACCTTCGGTCTCGAGCGCTCGAAGAGCAGTTTATCTTGAAGTTCAAGGCTAGAGTAACCGGGGGCGATCGAAAAAGAGGAGCAAGCAAGAACTGATAAGCATCACAGATAGAGACAATGAAGTGCTCACTACTAACGGCAATCATACATCAACCCCGAGCATGTTGTTTGAGCGCAAGTCCAAACGGTCAAACTGCTGTCGGGAATACATCTAGATCAACGGGTACGAAGCCATTTGCAACCACATGAAAATGCTATCACGCATGATGCGTTGGACCTGCGGGATGGAGCTGTGACAATCAGAAATGATGAATTTACTTACTTGA